CTGTTCTTCCAGGCTCCTAGGCAGATCTTCCTTGCGCGCTTTGCAGGGGCCCACGCATCGTAAACGGCGCCCGTGCAAGCGTCTCCTGCGAGGTTTCCAGTGTCCCGCGCATCGTTTCAGGCGGCCCGGCAGAGGTCCCCGTGCGGCGTTCCGCGATTGGCTTCGCTATCCGGGTTTTGGAAGCTTACAAGTTCTTCCAGGCTCCCAGGCAGATCTTCCTTGCGCGCTTTGCAGGGCCCCACGCATCGTAAACGGCGCCCCTGCAAGCGTTTCCTGCGAGGTTTCCAGCGAACCGCGCATCGTTTCAGGCGGCCTGGCAGAGGTGCTCGTGCGGCGTTCCGCGCTTGGCTTCGCTATCCGGGTTTTGGACGCTTACAAGTAGCTCATTTGCTGCACGAGTAAATCGAAGAAAAACAAACAAGTAGCAGAATACGAATCAGCGTTCAGCCCTAGCGCGAATAGCAGACTGAGTGTGGGTGTCTAGATACTTCGAAATAGCGAGCACAATCATTCTCTTCCCATTGCAATGTCTAAGAGCTCTGAAGCTGATCTGCACCTCGAATTCAAAACAGAAAACAATTTCTATCACACAATACAGCAAACAGAATATAACTAGTTTTGCGGTGTCTGTGCTCATAATAGACACAAGCCAAGCGTCTAGATACTTCAGACGATCGCGCCACATCTTCTTTCAAGCCCATACGCAGCTCGAGTCAAGTGTTCAATAATATTAACTGAAAACAGAGGTTTCTCGGAACCTTAGTGGATCGTCGTCCGGTGCACAGGACCTTTGAATTCTCTGGGAAGAGGGCCTTATGAGTCTCGAAATCTTCCTCGCTCTGCACAGAAGCGAGCCCTGTCCCCAAACTTAGTAGGATCCAAAACCGGAAAGCGAAGTGCGAGGGGCTCCCTGCAGCGCTGCCGAAGCGCTTCCAGAAACGCTTCCATGCGTGCCTGCACGTATGTAGGTATGCGTCGAAGGTTGCCGGGAGCTCGCCCGGACCCGCTGCCGGGTCGCCGGAGTTTCTGCGGCGACTGCGGAGCACGCGGAGGAGCTCCTGGCGGGCACCACACCGTCCGGTTTCTAATCTTACACCCTTTAGCTCTAAGCGAGCTCTCCGGGAACAGTTTAAGGGCCCTCCGAAGCCCAGACGGCAGCGAAGGCAGCAGATTAGGGGGAGCGAACGGGAGCAGGAACGCGCAACCAGTGCACGTGAGACGTTAGAGAGGGGATTGGGGCAGTGAGGAACGTGAGCGGTATTCCACCCGCATCCTTTACTGTTGCGCACAATCTCCCGAACAGACATTCGAATTAAACTGCTTCCGAAGCTCGGATTCACACGATAGCTTACGCAACAAACGTACGGGCAGGCTTTCGCCGGCGAAACACGGAAAACGTCAATATGGAAGTCAAACGTGACATCTCAGACGTGTCACCTAGCCTTATAAAACATAACGGGAACCATTCACTCACGAGGGTAATTCGCTATCCGTGTGGAGACCCAGTGGATTCTTCGCAAGAATCACTCGCAACTGACTCAGAGGTTTAGCTCGGCCAAATGATCCGCAACTTGCTTATCGGTCGGCACCCATAACACGGTGGACTTCGGATTCTCGTCGTCGAACTCTTCGGCAGCATGGACCACCGCAGCGATGTCTATACTCAAACGCCAGTCCAGTTTTCTGGATGGAGTCCCTTCTTTAGTTAGGATGTCATACAAAGACTTACAATCCGTTGCCACCTTAATCGGCATGAAGAAACTCGGGAGCTAACCTGAAATGCCCGGCTTGAAGTTCCGAAACAAGACTTCGGCGACCGTTTCCACACCAGTTACAGAAAGTACGCAGAAAGTAACGCAGAAAGTAAGCCGTTTCCACACCAGTCACGTTGAAGACTTCCGAAGTTACAGAAAGTAAGCCGTTTCCACACCAGCATCCATTCCCATTGCCTCGGCGGCCGAAGTACTTCGAACCACTCGACAAATACAATGGGAACACCAATCAAGTAGAGTAGCCGCTCCGTCTTTTGAAGTCAAGCTATCTTGATCTGACAAGAAAACCATGAAAGCGGCTTGACTTTGATTCTTCCGAGCGTTAACCCAGGCAGCATCAGTAAATGTGATGAGAACACTTCTCGTAACACCACCGCTCGCGGAATTGGTCTTCTCCTCGACGGTGAGCTCGGCCTCGGGCGTCGCAGATCTCCATCGCGGCAGTGACGCCGGCACGCGCTGACTACAGAACTCCTTCTGGTTGATGAAAATCGTGTCGTTTTCGTTCTTACTGAGGTGCTTGCCGCAGTAGTTCAGCTTGTTGTCTCACCATTTGCCAAAAGTGAACCTCTGGCGGATGGTCTCCAAAAGCTTGGAGCCTTCTCGAGCATCTGCGCCTCCGATGAGGTCGTCCACGTGGATGCCGGTAATCATGATAATGCGACCTGCCTTGTGGTAGAAACAGGAAAGGGCCTTGGCCAGCAGGCACTGCTTGCCACCGATGTGCATAAGAAATTCACGAAGTTCTCGCCACCACAGGCGAGGGCTATTGACGAAACCGTAGATAGCACGTCACACTTGGTAGCGTCCAAAACCCGGAGAGCGAAGAGCGAAGAGACTCTTTCGGAACAGGAAATCTTTCCTGGAGAGCTCTGGGAAGCTCTCCTGCAGCGATGCCGAAGCGCTGCCAGAAACTCTTCCACGCGTGCCTGCACGCGTGCAGGCATGCGTGGAAGCTTGCCGGAAGCTCTCCCGGACCAGCTGCCGGATCAGGCGAGGCGCTGCGGGGATCGTGGGGCGGCGGAGATGGGCTGCTGGCGGGCACCACCACCGTCCGGCTCCTAATCCTAAACCCTGTGGCTCTCAGCGAGCTCTCCGGGAACAAGTAGGAGAGCACCGCGTTGTACACCTGGAAGTCCTTCAGAAGGTTGTCGAAGGTAGATCGGCTTGTCGCGCTGGGCCTTTGTCTGATCGGCTTGCAGGAAGGCTGTGGCAACGTCGCCTCCGAACAAGTTGAAGTCCAGCTCGAGATCGTCTGCGGCAAGATGTAGAAACCAGCTCTAATAAGTATTGGTGTGTCACGTCTGAGATTCATGATGTCAGGGTCGTTGTAGCCGATACCCTTGGCGTCGATCTCGGAAACTCCACGTCCGGCATTCTTGTTGCGGTAGCAGACTCTTGATGGAATAATGCGCTTCTTCTTCTTCTCAGGGTCGCTCTCGATGGACTTGGACGTCTTCAGATCCAAGTCCTCCACGGCTGAGAAACGTTGCCAGGATGACCACCCACGGGCCAGAGCTTCTCGAAATAGATGTACCTGATCTGCAGGGATCTGCGGGTAGGGGATCTCACGACTGAGCGCCTTCTGGTCCTTCTTGGTCCAAGTGAAGCTGCCGTTGTTGTTGAGGTAGACCTCGTAGGCTGGCGACTCGAGAATAGTGTACTGCTCGCATAGAAATCGGAATGGCAGAGTTCTGCTCAGTACCGTTGAAGCAAACGTGGGTCGCACCTGGGGCCTGTGAAGTAGGCGGTGTAGCTGGCGTCTCTGGTTCTGCGAAGCGGGGTCGCCGGGCAGCTCGAGTATCTCCCCCAGCGTCTTCAGGTAGTGGTCGAACAGCTGGCAGTATGTTGTCGTTCATGTTATCCCCGGAGCCGCAGGCCTCGGTTAGCTGTCGTGGTTCAGCCGGTGGCTGAGCAGGAGGTGGTAGAAGTCCACGAACGTGTTCACGTCTTCCTTCATCTCGTAGAGCAGCGGCTAGATCAGACACGACCACATCGTTCGGGTCGATCTCGGCAGGGGGTATCGCATGTTCGCCGTGAAATCGTTCAGGTTGTGCTTCAGTAGCCTTGCGTAGCTCAGTCAAGTCCTGCTCATCAGGTATCCACAATTTAGTACCATGTGCTTCTCGAAGTTGTTCTTTTGAAACCAAGATCGGATGTCCTGAAGACTGCACCCAAACATTGTTGTTATCGGCACCGCCACTACCACCAGGACCAACCACAGTAGCCACAATGAACCTTGCTGGTATTGCTTGCCCTTCTTGTTCTTCGCTTGACGCCAGCAAGCCACTCGATCTCCCGGGGCGTAGTCTCCTCGGTAAGGTCGGGTAACTCGAAGCATCGCGCGCTTGAGAGACTCGGACCTGTCGTACTCGGTGAAGGCCATGTCTGCGAGGGCTCGTACCCGGGCTCGTTTAGCAAGCTCTACATCTGCGGTCATGGCGCTGTGTGCGACGGCAGAGTTGGCTGGGTCGGTGATGCTGTCGGGGATCCTCGGGTTCTTACCGAAAGTCCACTGATATGGTGAAGCACCGCATTGTCGAACACGAGAATTGCGAGACTGGTTGATCGCAGGTGCCATCAGCTTCATGTCCTCGACTCCGGCAAGCTGCATCGTGTCAATCACCTTCTTGGCCATGTGCTTCCAGAGCGTGATGTTCGCCTCGACTCGTCCTGACTGCCAGTGAGCTTCAGCTGGGGGCTTCTCGACGTAAACGTTGTGAGCCTCAAGATGTTCAACGAAAGCAGCCTGAAAAGCTCCATCACGATCGCACACCACATGGTCTGGATAACCAGACCAAGACAAGCAAGCCAAAGTGAAAAAATCTCAAACACCTGAGTAGGATCACCAGTCGGACAATAAACCACCACCATCAGTAAACCTGACATCTCCAAAATTCCCAAGAACTGATGTGTTGTAAGAGCGGCATCAGGTAGATAAAAGAAATCCAAACCAACTCGAGCATTTAACAAAACCATATATGGAATCTTGGCGGGTCGTGGGCGTCGTGGTTTGACATTTCGTAGACATGAGCTGCATCGCAGACGTTGGCTGAGATCGATCGCAACCTGGCTCGCTTCGCTCGCGATCAGGAACCTCGTGAAATCAGCCTGCAGCGGGTGGCTCAAGTTCTGGTGCATCCTGGCAACGATGGGGGCGGCGCGCTTCTCCTCCGGCGTGAGCGGGGGTCCAGCGAACCAGATCTCGTCGCCGGCACGTTGTTTAACAGGCTGAGGCTGAAGTTCATCTGACTGTGGTTCGTCGGGTACTGGAACTGGCTATCGTGATTCGCCTTCGACTGGTGGTCGAGGTGGTGCAGGTACTTCGCCAACTGGAGCACGTCCGATAATGAACAACCCGTATCGTACTGGGTCTTGAAATCGTTCTCGTGGTGCGTAGGCCTGTGGGACGTACTCATGCTCGACGATGATGCGATTATCTTCGAGTAGAAGAACGGAACATCTATGAACGTCTGGACCGTACACAGGTTTAAGACGCTTCGCCTTCGGCTGGAAGGCGGCCTGCATGTGCAAGATCTGCCAGGGGACCAACTCGGACACCTGCTTCCACATCTCTGAGTCCTGCGCCACCTGAGCTGAGGGGGCGTTCCTTCGACTCATGACATCGACGACCGATTGCATGATGTTCTTCCACTTCGTCTCGTCCATGTCGGGCGCCGAATAGCAGACGTGGTGCACGGTAGGGGCTGGAGCGTCGTAGGAGACGGGGTAGTAGCTGCACAGGTAGATGCCGTGTCCGAACTGCTCGCTCTCGATGACCCTGGTGAGACCTCGGCAGATGGCGTCGGCTAGCTGCCAGGTGTAGACCTGTGAGAGCTTGGTGTTGCCATTAGGTCCACTTCCTTGCATTTCTTCATGTGGATGGCTGTGGTCACAGTGTCGGTCGAGCTCTTGAATGAGAAGTGGATGCGTACCCAACCAGCGGACCAGCTTCTTCATGGGGAGGCCCTGGTTGCCGACCATGCCGAACATGCACATATTAGAGGTGAACTCGTAGTTGTCCTTCCTGAGCTTGACGATTGCCTCCTCGCGCCACGACTCGGCAGTGGCGGGATTCTCGAGCAGGGCCTGGTCGCCGTAGTCCTTCTGCTTGTCGAAGATGTCCTTCGTGAAGGTGATGAAGCACCGCTCTTCATCGCGTAGGTCCTCCAGCACCTCGGGCATCTCCTTGTAGTTGACGTTGCGGTTGAGCAGCGACCAGAGTGTACACGGAAGCTGGATGATGACCAAGCGCGGCTGCCGCTTGTCGATCGTCTCGAGCACTTCCTTCCTGGCCTTCTGCTTCTTCAAGTCCTGACCGAACAGCTTGTCCACCAGCTGTAGAGCTCGCATGCCCCAGCCGTTGGCGCGGCCGGTGGCGCGCAGGGTGATGCCACACTCGCCCGCGAAGATCTCGTAGATGTCGAAGCCGCGTCGCTGGCGTCGTGGAAAACGGCTCTTCTGCATTCGTCTCTCATAGACGCGCTTCTCGAGCTGCAAGTTGTTGTAGGCAGACTTGGCCATACCGTAGTACCTCTTCGCCTGACCTGTCGTTATTTGGCTTCCGCATGAGGTGGTCGCTCCCAGCTCGAGTCCTGCTCCTCGTCCATCGCCTCCGACCATGGTGACCTCCTCCTTCGTAGACTCGGTGATCTTCGTGTCGTATTTGGGCGCCCAGGCCGTGCTGAGGGGGGTAAGCGCTGAGCCGACGAGGAAGGCGGCGCGCATGAACTGCTTGCCGATGGAGTAATGCGATCGATCTTTGCGCCTGGAGTCTTTCGCGTCCCGTGGAGATTCCAAAAGATCACATCCGTCGTCCTGATCTGGTACTTCTCGCCCTTCCAGACCGTCCCGCAGTAGAGGCACTCCTTGAACATCCCGGCTGGAACTATGTACTCGTGCTCCCCGTTGGTTGGATGGCAGCACGTCTTGTTCGGATCCGGGTAGCATGACATCTTCGTCCGTGATCCCGCCCTGGTATCTGGGATGAAGCTGTCCACGGTCTTGTCCTGACACAAGATCTGCATCGCTGGAAACTGTCTGCTGAGAAAACTGTCGATCACCTTGTTCCTTCGGTTCCTGTCGAACATTCTGAGGACCACAAACACTGCCTGAATGATAATCGCCCATCGTGCCCGCAGGTCTTCGGTGGTGACCTTGGGAGTCCGTGGCATACACGGTCTCTGGATATGGAAAATGGAATCGCTGGAGGCTGTCCTCATAGAGTGACTTGGCACCGAGATGGCTCTTGAATCGATCGTGTAGTTTGCTTCGGCTGAGAACGGAACATGTCGATGGATCTCCGTGTCGCTGTTTCGCTCCTCATCGTCGTTCTCCTGACGTATTGTCGTGGATCGCCCCGGACCCGGCCCCCAATCGTGATCTCTGAAATGCTCATAGAACTTGTCAATCGAATCGGGAACGTTTTGACGTAGCTGAGGTACTGCTCGATCGGGTTCGGGCTTGCGGTGTCGTAGTTCTCGGTGCTGTCGTTCGGCTCGATCGGAATAATGTACGTCGTGGTGTTCTCGGTCGGCTCGATCGGAGTGATGTACTTCGTGCTGATCTCGGTTGTCTCGATCGGTGACGTGAGCTGACTGACGATCGCAGAGAGATGGTGAGATGTGATTCGACTCTCGCAGGCTGCGCTCGCACACCGAAACTGTATAGGTATCAATCTCAAAGCCTGCGTCGACTGGAAAACCTGTAACTGGCCAGTCGTCGATCCAAACTGCGAGACGTCCACTCTTAGACATCACAAGCTGTACGTTCGGAAGCTGAGCAGCCAGACAATGAACTCGAGAACCAGCGAGGTCGATCACACAACCAAGATCTGTCATCAAATCTCTTTCGCCCAGGAAAGGTAAACGAGCCGTCGCCACATCATCAATCGTTGAAGTGTGTAAAACCATCGCACGTCCGTGAACTCCGACTGGTACTGACCAACGTTCTGTACTCGTCATCGGCTCGCCAGGACCGAAGCGATACTGTTCACGTTCGGGTTGAGAGCAAACCTGTAGACCCTGTCGGTCGAGATAACGTTCTTGAAATAGTCGAAGCCCTCGTAGTCCAGCGACCGTCGTCTGGCACGCAGTGTCGAACACCAGAAGGTTGGCGTCGCTGTCGATGTTCACCGTGCTGAAAACGTCCTTCACCATCGTCATCATGTAGATCGAGCGCTCCTTATGAAAGCTCTTCGTGTTGAACTTCGCCCTCTGGCCACCGTTGCCGCACGTCATCATGATATGTCGTGCGTGATCGGGCTCTTGGTGATGAGTACTATCTTCGTGAAGTCCGTATTCTCGGACAGCACCCTGACGTCGTGACCCGGCAACCTGAGGCGGCGTCGTACCGAGCGTCTCGTGGATATTGTTGGTCGCCGCTAGGACCTGATGTACATACTCAGATTCAGAAACTGTGGGTAATATGTTCGCACTGTAACCGTGTCTTGTCGAAGCCGAAGACGCGCCTGAAGTCGTTCGTCCATCTTGGTCGTGCTCGTGTTGACCAGCAGGCTGCTGATGGGCAGGTGGCCACCAGGCGTCGGAAGACTGTGAGGCTTCGTTCGCACTCCGTGTAGCCGTCGTGCCTGTAGATGTCCTCTTTGAAGCTGGCGCTCGGCACTGGCGGTTACCTGCCCAATGGCCGATCTCGCCACAAGCCGAGCAGTTCGTCACCTTCTTGAGGTCCTCCAACGACATGCCACGTCGTGCCTTGCCTCCGTCATTGCCCTTGCCCTTGCCGGAACGGTTCGGCTGGTAGCCCTTGCCGTGCTTACCTTTGCCCTTGCTGCCCTTCGTGTTGTAGTAACCTCGTGCTCTGTTGGCCTGATTGAGACGATCGTGAGCCTATTTGAGCGTAACGTGAGCTGTGTGGATCTCTCTGGCCAACGCCTCGGGCAGCTGCTCATCCCAGGAGTCGCCAGGATCTTCCTCCCAGCTGTTGTCGTACGAGTCGTCGTAACCAAAATCTGCGTCGGTCACCTGCCAATCTTCATGATAGTGCTGGTAGTCGGCCTCGGTGACCTCCCTCTCGTACGTCTCCTGGTTCGTAACGTGAGCGCTGTACTGAGGTCGGTACTTGCGATCTCCTTGAAACCTATTACGCGGCACCAGCGGCATGGGAAACAAGATGGCCGCTTGCTCCTTCAGAGGCTTCCACTCGAACTTCGAACCTGCTGCCATCAATAATGTGGCCTGTGTCTTGTGGTCCAGCTGTGAACTCGTCATGAACTGCCTAATGATCATCGGATCTGGGATGTCCAGATCGACCGATTTTGCCTGGAGCCCCGCCTTGTCCACTCGAGTGGCGAGCTGAAGTAATGTCTCGCCTGGCCTGACGTGCTCCATGTGGAAGAAGTCGTCCATCGCGGCGCCTATCTTGACCGTTGGGCGCTGATCGAAATAGGCCAACCTGTCGAGTAAGAGCTCCACACCGTTCGGAACTGCGAAAACTGTCGGGCTCTCGTCCTCCACGTGATCGAAAGCCTTGTCTTCGAGCGCTGCATACAGTCGTGGTGCCATCTCCTCGGGGCCGATGATGTTCTTCGCAATCAAAACCCAGTTCTCGACCTGCGCCTTGTAGCGTCTGTATATCTTTGGATCCTCCATGTTACCGTCGAACTCCGGAGGCGGCGGTAGGTTGCCACGGCCTGGAGCGAATGTCGTCGCGTGGATCACGTCCTTTACCTCGCTTGCCTCCTTTGGCCGAGAACTCTCCATCATCGTAGTCGCCGCCCTCATCTGCAGCAGCGCGACCACCGGCAGGTGGCGTGTTGGGAGGTGTGCTCCTCCTCGACATGGCGGCGCTGTCCGTAGGAAAGTTGCTCTGCGCTACCAGTTCAATGTTATCAATTCAAAACAAGGGGTCTCTCGGAACCTTAGTGGAGCGTGGTCCGATGCACAGGACCTTTGGGCTTGCTGGAGAGAGGGCTCTATGAGCCTCGAAACCTTTCTCGCTCGGATGCACGCAAGCGGGCTCTGTCGCCAAACAGCTCAAGGGCCCTCCGAAGCCCAGACAACAGCGGAGGCAGCGGGCGAGAGGGAGCGAACGGGAGCAGGAACGCGCAACCAGTGCACGTGAGACGTTAGAGAGGGGATTGGGGCAATGAGAAATGAGAGCGGCATTGCAAAGTGAACTAACATAAACATGATTTCGAAGAAAATAGGTCGCATACGAACAGGTTTGCGGACCTAGCCCGAGTAGCAGACTGTGTTCTGCGCTTTGGATGCTTCAGCCCAACGCCCCTGATGATTCTGGATCGCTTTCTGTGCGTACTAGCTCTGAGAACACCGACAGCGCCTGTAAAGAGAACTTGAAGAAAACAAAAACTTTCGCGAACTAGCTCGAGTAGCAGACCGGGTTCAGACCTCTCGATGCAATAGCCAACGCGTTTGCTGATACTGGATTGGTTTATGTGCGTGTCAGCTCTGTAGCTATCCTATAGCCCGAGTTAAGTACAGAAAACCGACAGCACTTGTCAAAATGACTCGAATGATACGAATCGTTTTGCGAACCAGGCTCGAGTAGCAGACCGGATTCAGACCTCTAGATGCAACAGACGAACGCGCCTGATGATTCTGATTTTTCTGTAAGTACCAGCTCTGTAGCTTTCCCGAATCACGAGTTAAGTATCGAAAACCGTTTACGCGTGTCAGGATGGCTCGGAACACAAACGGTTCCTGCAAGTGTTTTGATAATAATACTGCAGCTACAGACCTGAGAATTTCACTGGCAGACGCGGCAACCCACCACACGTGAGAAAGATACCAGTTCTTAAAACGAATTTTCAAGGTTTGCACAAACATACAACAATCGACCCAAGTTAACACATTGTCTCTTGAGGTCGGGTCTGCCAACTAGCTCCACTCTGCGCCCGAATTCCTCTTAGCTCATCTTGCCGAAAAGCTCCACGAGGTATAAGAGGAATTCGAGCGCAGGGTGGAGCAACTGGCGAACCGTCAACCTGGTCACCGCCGGAAACCTCGTAGAGCTGCTCGCACGCGTCACAATGCTCAGGATCGAAGCAGAGAGCTTCTCGGATATTTCTAGAAAAACGTCAAATTTACATTTTTCGGTCTCAATCTGAAGTCGGTTCCCTGAAGCCAACTAAAACTAAAACTGGCTCTAGAGAGCTGAGCTGCTCTGGGAACGAAATTTATATGCCAATGCTCGGCGTAAAAATCTGCTTTCTCAAAATGAATTGTCAAATATCTTGCAAAATCTTAGCGCAAACGACCCGAAGTTGTCACATTGTCCTTTCTGGTCGGGTCGACCAACTAGCTCCACCCCGCGCCGGAATTACCGAGCGCTGATAGCAGATGATCTCAGGCGTCTAGATACATTTCACGATTGCCCCTGATGCGTAGCTCATCTGCAGCACGAGTAAAACCAAGGAGAACAGTAACATTTCCAGGAAAGTACCACAGTACGAATCAGAATTCAGTCTTAGCGCTAATAGCAGTGTGAGCGTGGGTGTCTAGACACTTTCAAATAGCGCGCATGGCGATTAGCTTCCCATTGCAATGCCTAAGAGCTCTCAAGCTGATCTGCACCTCGAATTCAAACCAGGAGCCGAATTCCATCACCAGAAAAAAAAACAGAAAATGACTAGTTGTGCGGCGTCTGCGCTCATCACAGACCCAAGCCAAGCGCCTAGATACTTCAGACTATCCCGAATCATGATTTCCCTCTGATTTCTGTGCGGGAGAGCTCTCAAGCTCATCTGCAGCTCGAGTTAAGTGAAAAAATTCACCATCAGCTCGAAAAAAATCGGTCGCATACGAATAGTTGTACGGACCCAGTTCGAGCAGCAGACTCTTTTCAGAGCTCTACATGCTTCAGCCAAACGGCCCTGATGATTCTGGATCGGTTTCTGCCAGCTCTGTACCTCTGTTACAGCTCGAGTTAAGTACAGAATAGCAAAAGCGCCTGTAAAGAGAATTTCAGAAATACGAATAGTGTCGTGGACCTAGCTCGAGTAGCAGACCGTTCAGACCTCTCGATGCAACAGGCGAACGCGCCTGGTGATACTGAAACGTTTATGTGCGTGCCAGCTCTGCAGCTCCTCTAAATCTTGA